GTGAGTATAGGGTATTCACTGAAATCGATATATTGCATATTTACTGCGGAATATGGCTTACTCACCTGTGGAATATGCCACATACCACAGGTCAGTATGGAATATTTACCCGTATCACAAATACCACGCAACCAGGAATGTATGCCATATTCCGTGTAACAATTCAAAGGGGTTCGAGTTGCCAAACTAATGATGGGAAGTGTTATCATTCATAAACATAAACCATAACTACATGAACAACATTAGGAAAGAATGACACCTGAAATACAATTTTGAAAATGTTATTAGTACACATACATGTATTTCCTATTGCTGACCACACATACCCTAAACAGTTTTATGGGGTATGGCAATGATAAGCTGTAAAAAATATAAAATGGTAGATAATGAAAATGTTAAGCATATTATGATGTCACGTATAGTGTTTAGATTTACTTAGAATAACAAATTCTGCTATAATGATACACATTTTCTATTTGACCCTAGCAACAAGTTCCACAACTGAAGTGTAAGGTGCCACGCCCCCTTTCTTGAATTTTTAGGGGAAGGTAAAGAGAAAAATCAGAAAAAATAGATGGATGCACTTTTTATTGAAACTTTTGCAAGAAATATTTGCTAACATCATCAGTGAAGTTTTTAATCAGGTTTTATACACCATAGGCCCTTACTGTTTTTTAAATGACTGATTAACTATCGACTGATTAAGAAATTTTGAAGAGAAATTATGTACTTTTAGGGACAAATTTTCCCATATCTCTACCAAATTTTGTTGGATAAGACCCAAACTTTCAGGAATTCTTCATACATGCCTTATTGATATATTGACAATGTTTCATCAAATTGCAACATCCTGAAATGAGATATTAAATTTTTTCAAGCATATGGTCAAATTCCGACTCAAAAATAATAAAAGTTGCTGACTCAGCACTTTTGAGCCTGCTTTGCAAGGGTTCACAAACTTTTTTTTACATGCCTTGGGGTCCCCTACAAGAATCTAAAGTCAAATTGAATCTAGGTGTTTTGGACACAAATGGCCTTGGCCGTAGCACTAATAGCCTTTGTATTAGATTGGCGAAAAGTTTACTCAAATATGAAATCTCTTTTTAAAATGTAAAACGCAGGTTGTGGGGCTATTATTCGTAAATTCCACGGGTGAACCGTCCTTATAAGTCAAGGTAATACTGATCTCGTTAAAGTTGTTTAGTCCTAAATCCAAGTAATATATATTTTTGAATTGGCAGTATGTCTTAGATGTCAATATAGTACGTAGGATCGTCCTCGAAGTTGGTCCTACTAATGATTCACCTATTATATTACAATATACGTATATTAAGCCTTTATTTATATGTTTACCTAGACAAATTTCGGTTAAACCGCAAGTCCAGTTTTCTAATTTTTTAAATGTTTGGTAATTGGGTAACTTGCTGGTAAATTTACTTTGAGTGTTATCCGCATAATAAATTAAGGAATCATCGCTCGAAAGATGTGCGTACGTCTGTTTCAAACTCATAACTAAATTAACCCGTATAGGTATCTTCTTAAATACCCAGGTGCGAGGCAAGTCTATCGAATATCGGCTATATCGGCTCATTGATCTAGAAGTACGATTCTCAATTTGGATGTGAGAGGTCTCGGGGGGTCGAATCCCGGACGGGCCTTTTTTTTGTATAAATGATTTCATTTTAATTACCATGTCTTTAAATTTCAGAGGTATCCTTAACATTCACCCAGGAATTGAATTTTTTCGGCCAGAACTTCCATTTTACTAACGCCAATCTGTTGTTTGGTAACCGCCCCTTATATTTAAGAATATGATCTATTTGAAATAACTGATCCGGTTTAGTGGTCACCCTATTCAATTCTTCGTTATAGAATGTGCCTTTTATGTCATCGTCGTTATAATCCATCAATTTATAAACGGGTACACCGTCCCTCTTATATTTACTTTTAATTTTGAATATTTCACCTGTCCATCGCGCGTGATATTCCTTCTGAAATGGTTGCCGTAACGTAGATATACGTACTAAATCATGGACTTTAAATTTAAAAACAACCTTTGATTTTCGTTTCTTTGCCACATTTTCTTTCTTGACATTTACGTTTTTAACACGTTTCCGTTGTTCACGTTGCTCTTGCCTCGTCAACTGTTCATGCATAACTTCGTATTGGGTGGCTTCATTCACGCTAGATGGCGCCCTACCGATAGTTCTATGAAATGTTTCGTTGTAACCATTTACTATGTCCATTAGAACATCGACGTAACGATTAGATTGACGAGCAATCATGTATCTGTGTACTCGGCCAGAGATTGTTTTAATAGCTCTCTCGATAAAGTTGCTTTTTGTTTCGTTCAGACTGAAGATTTGTTTAATTCCTAATTTATCTAAATATACCTTCAAGAGATTGTTGGCAAATTCTTTTCCCAGGTCAAACCTAAAGATGGCGGGGTGTTTAGCTTCGCCTAAATCATCCAAAATGCTTTTGATGGCCTGAAATGTCTCCTTCGCCGTTTTAGTTTTTAATAGTTTCGCGTGTACAAATTTACTGAAAACGTCAATGATCAAGAGAACGTAAGAAAAATTATCGTTGTCTGATTTTAATTTGCTATAATCTATCAAATCGGCTTCCATCATATAATGAATTCCCAATGTATCAACTGGACTTCTTTTAAATTTTCTCTTGACAGGTTTATACATTGTGTAAGATTCAACACCATTCAAAAAATCTTTTACCATTTTTAATGTTATGTCGTTTCTAAGTTCTTTGATACTTTTGTAAAATTTAGATGGTGATGTAAAGCTACCCTTAAATGTAGGGTCGAAATACAACCGACTAAGATAACATCTAACCTCCTCATCCATGTCAAAAACTGAAGTGTTGTTAGAATCGTGACTTGGTTTTTATAAGTGAATGCGACTTTAAAACCATTGTTCATTGGTAGACAAAATGAAAAAAAATATCGAAATTTTTTGCGAGGGTAAAACATTTGTTTGACAAAAATGAATCGTAATTATATAGTTTGATGTATACGGTCTTAAAATGTTTAATTAAGTAAGAATGAAAAAATAAAATTGAAAATTTTTGTAAGGGTTAAAATTGTCGGACAAAAATGATGCGTTTAGAGATCATATAGCGAGTATATGGGCTTAGGATGTTGAAAGAACTTAAAAATAAAAAAAATAAAACTGAAATTTTTTGTAAGGGTAAACATTTTTTGGACAAAAAATGAAGCGTGCTAACATCTTTTAGTCTTTATACAGACTCGGACTGCTGAAATAGGTGAAAATGAATAAAGTATCGAAAAATTTTGCGAGGGTAAAACATTTGCCTGACGAAAATTAAGTGTTTTGACATGTTATAATATGTATACGATCTTAGGATATTGAAATAAGTTAAAATGAAAAAAATGAATTGAAAATTTTTTGTAAGGGTAAAACGTTTGTTGGTCAAAAATGAAGTGTTTTGACATGTTGTAGTATGTATACGGTCTTAGGATGTCGAAATAAATAAAAATGAAAATATTTGTAAGGGTAAAATGACAAAAATGAAGCGCACTTACATCTTTTATTCTTTATGTGGACTTAAGACAATAAGTGAAAAAATGAAAAATAAAATTGAAAATTTATGCGAGGGTTAAAAGATTGTTGGATAAATATGTAATGTTCTGACATTATATAGTCGTATATGGACTTGGGATGTTGAAATAAGTGAACAATGTAAAATAAGATTTTTGCGAGGCTATACTTGTAAATAAAAATAAATAAATTTCAAAATTCCCCCAAAAATTCTCAAGATGTAATTGATCTCATTGTGAAAGCAAGGGGAACAAAACAGGGAATCTACTTTTTTGCCCTAAGTAAACTTTTATTTATCAATATATCCGTTTAAAGACTGTCTCGATTATTAATTAACCTATTCACAATACTGAAGCTAGATTATCGATTGACGGCCGTTTCGAACTTGGTAATCGAAGTTGGGTTTATGAGTTTGATTATTCCTTTTTACGACTTACAGCTGTCAACCTTCTCATCAAATTGCTAGGATTGTACCGTAAGTGCCGGCTGAAGCTAGATTATAAATTCATGATAAACCATCCATCAATGTTAATGAGACATTTATTGCCCATTAACCCATGTTATTAAACCCATAGAGGCTAATAAGTACCGGGTCACGTGGCTAATAAATTGACCAATCACAGCGAGGTCACGTGATTAAAATTGACCAATCAGAGCGCTTATATTTGACCTCTGCCGAACACTTCCGGGTCACTATGCCTATTAAACTACTTCCTTATCTCAAAGAGTTCGTATAGCTAGATTTAAATGAGTTCACACAGTTAGACAACGGAAGAAATATCAGAAAGTATTAAGACTGCGTTTTTGAATTGCCCGCGGCGCTAGTACATTGGGTAATAGGTAATGAGATTTCCCCCGGTATCACGAAAAGAACAATAAGCCTGTATGTATGATGTGCAAATCCTATGGTCACACGTTTTCAATACAAACAGTTCATCCAAGCGCACTTACACCGCTAATTACGATGTGTCAATCGTGTCGGCTAACCGTGTGTGTCAACCGCGCTGGCTTGTTGCTAGTACACCACAGGAGTTCGATTGCAATAAACCTTGAACGCTTGAAAGAGCTATTCTTATTACAAACAAATGAGTATGTAATGATCACTGCAGTGCTAACTGTTATTTTAAGTGATACCTGGGGAGAAAACTCATTGAAATATTACGCGATTCACAAGCACCGTGGGTATATAAAGTATGTCTTAATTGGACGCGCGTCTTTCTCACAAATTAAATTGATAAGATACATGAAACGATATAAGGTTATTTCCACAAGGCAATTGGTGTTGATGACTAGAGCTTTAGGGAGATCCGACGGCCTCCCTATGACTAATATTTACTTGATAGGCTTTGAGTTCACACACGGACTTCTCTTTCTGTTGAGTTCCCCTACCCATGGTTCACACATAAAAGTATGTCGTGTACTTACGCAAGTCCATGTCCTTTGTCCATTGGCATGTCTTTGCAGTACCATTAAAGCCACCACAAAATTGCCACAGTCCAATATTTCCTTCATATTTGACCGTTGAATTCTGAAAAGTAGCCACTCCCCACCTGTTATTTGCTACAGCCCGTATTGCACTTCCAAACGATGATCCCATTAGGCACCCGGCGGCAATACGGATACCATGTTTCCACGCTTGTTTCCCACTGAACCCCATCTTATTGATCCAATTTTGACTGAAGATTGAAAAACAGCTAGGTATTGTATAAATATGATAACCTCAATATCACCATATCTCTTAGTGGAATGTTGATAAGCTTAAAGTGTTTTTTTTAATTAGAGTTAATAACTAACCCAACTGATTCATCATTATTATGATTCACTACTATGTGACGGTATTAAGCAAGATAAAAACAAGTTGGAGTAAATGTGATAAAATACATAGGTAAATAAAAAACAAAAGTAAAATTCCCTCCTAAAATATGAATTAACCTCTGCTAAACCTGAGAAAATGAACTGTTTTGATGGCTGAGCGTATTGCATTTTGAAATCGCCATTCCCAATGATTTTCTGGGGTTGCTGCAAATTCTGTAACCATAGTCATTCATATTGAACCGTGAAATCTTAAATCTTGATATTTACCAACACGGCTCAGTTTACAAAAATATCACAAATTCAAAATCAAAATCAAAAATGACCATCGGATCCTTACCGAGCGCCTGTGATTTCTACCAGATGTGACTGCATTTAGTGTAGTCAAGGTGACAAGTAAAAGTTAAATGTAGTATCAGACCTAGACTGACAAGCTAAGGACGAAAAGATCCACCCACCCACACAACCACACAAATGTGTTAGTGTTTTACAATTATATTTCGTTATACCATTCGTTCTTTTATATTTTAGAAAAATGGGCAATTATATTTCCATGCCATAATATTGCTAATCAATTTAGAATAGCTGGTTAAAATTGGAGCAATTGCAGAAATATTTGTATTCTCTCATAAGAATGCTAATCCTTCGCCCACTGTGGAACGTTTACTGTATGTTTCTTTTATTTGGGCAAGGACTGCATTAAATCCCTTTATAAAAGAGCAGAAATGTAGCAATTTAGGCCGTAAATGACTATTGCTGACTCAGCAGTCTCCAGCAGTTTGTGGTTGATTTGCAAAACTTGATTACAAATGATTACATAGAGAGAAATACGAATTATGGCTATTTTTCGAAGTTCATAAACAATTAAGTGTGGTCAGTATAAAGGGTTAAATATAACCTACTCCTTTAAATTGACAAGCTGACAAAACCTCTACCCACCGAATCCTCGCATCCATTCAGACCACATAGTCCTCTTCAAAAACTTCCCATCGGCTTATATCGTAAGCAAAATATCCACGATACATTTATAGGATTGATTTTTGGATCTGGAAAAGCATGTGGGATGCGATGATGCCACTGATTTCAACGAGACCGCCGAAAATATAAATCAACTTTTGGGTTCAAAATTGTAATCTGTCAGCAGTCCCTGACACTCCTACTATTACCAAACATTAATTATGATCAATACATGTAGACATGTATGCGCCTACATCTACAAAGAAGCAAATTAGTGTTTAACGACCAACTGATCCCACGATGTACAAAACAAATGTCACGTAAGTTTTAAAACAATTGAAGGCAATAAAGCTAGTAGGCATTTTGAAAATAGACAATTGGAAATTTTTTAAAACAATTATCTCAAAACACAAAAATGCAATTTTCCACAACAAAAGAAACCGCCATTTTCAATTTTTTAAAGAATTTTGGTCGAGGCTTTAAAACCTCATTGGTACTAATTCAAAAAGAACATATCTGGAAATTTAAAAGCAAATTAAAACAATAATTCCCATATTATGGCTCTCAAAGTGTTTTTTTGCAGCAAAAGTGGCGGCCATTTTGAATTTTTGAAAGAATTTGGTTTGATTTTTGCTATATTGTTTCATTATATAACTGTTTACAGTGACATGTTTTTTTTTCAATGTCGAACATTATTTAAATTATTTCTAAAACTAGTAAATGGTACAAAAGCGAATTTTGCGAGACAAAAATGACGGCCATTTTGAAAGTAGGCGAGCATTTAATCAGGAGTCATAGAGGGGTTTTCTGTATTGATGTTGAACAAAAAACAATTTAAAGCGGAAAAATAACTTAAAGGGACTTGGAAAATAGCTACGTTGACCCAGTGAGTCGTGCATGTAATCATATATGTATCTTGGTGGACAATCATCCACGACATGTTGATATTTTATATATATCACTGTGGCTAGTCGATCTATGTGGATGCAGTCATTTATATGTAATGTATCGTGGGTACTCGCGTACATTATAAGGAATGGGATCATTGCAAAAATATGACAGCAAATCGAGGTAAGTGATCTCAGAGTTTCTACTTAACATTGTGACTTGAAATCTTGCACACATATTCAATATACATAGTATGACAATGTGTGAAAGTTTCAGCTACCATATTCCTGTTACAGGGAAGATATTTGAAAAACATTTCGTAAACGTCAACATATATGTATAAAATGGATGCACCTATGTATCATTGGATTCAGAACGGTAACAAATGGATGCTTTAATAAATTATACTTTTATCATGATGATTTATTTACTGATGGACAACTGGCCAGATTTTCTTTGTGTCCATTGTTTGGATAAACATTCCTCATTCAGTAAAGTAATTAGCCACCCCATTACAAGTATGAGAAATTGAAAATACTATATATAAACCCATCAACTGAAAAATGCAATTACAGATGAAATAAAGGACCCACGGTCCTCTGCTCACACAGTGTAGAACCTACAGAGGAATGTATATCCTGATTTACAAACAAAAGTATTGGTAAATATGAGATCAATTAAAGATGAGTCCTTTGTTGTTGGTTCAGATATGATTTGTTGTAGTCAAAGGAAAAACTATGAATTTGACCGAGATTTTGACCTAGGCCTTTTAGTGTTCAAATTTTGAAGGAAAGTAGATTTTGAGGACGGCTTCTATTGTACATTCGTATTAAGTTGGCTGCATCCAAGCTGTATCTAGTGTTGTGTTGTTACAATTGATAATTTTCTCAAGCCCCATTGACTTAACATGGGATACCAAAATAGCGATTTTTGAGATTTCAAAATGCCATAACTTCCGAACCGGAAGTCGGAATCTGGTTTGCAGATTCGGATTCCTTGGACAATTCTTCTCATATTTCATAACTCATACATTGAATTCCAAGAACTTTTTTATTGTGACCTACTTTGCGGATGCCATATCTCAAAAACGGTAAAAGTGATCAAAACAACTTGCCTGTAGGGATTAGCTTTTTTCCAAGGAACATGATTAAAAAAGGAGCAAAAATATGAAAGGACGACTGAGAAAATTGAAAAAATGACAAAGTACTGGATTTGACCTAGTTCTTGACCTTTGACCTAGATTAAACCTGATTAGACCTAGATATGGACTTGGGCCTGAACTTGACCTTGACTTGGACCTGGACTGGACTGGTATTTTTTCAATATTTTCTTCACTTCTCTTGACTTTCTATAAGGCTATCATCAGATCGATTTTTCTCGAAATTTGAAAATCAGCAATTTCTTGGAAACCGGCCGAACTTGGGAAATGGCAATGATAGGTCAAATAGACATTATGGATATGCATAAAATGAATGTGGAAATGACTCAATCCAGATAGCAGTTTTAATTTGTGCAGCCAATGTTGACAGACGGACGGACCAACGGACGGACGGACGCCTGGTCGATCCCATAGGCTAAAAAAATATGGTTTTATCGCTAATAATGTTAATTTGAAAAACGGGTCCATATCATGTAATGATGACAATGAAAATGTTGAAATTAGGTACGCCAATGAAGTGAATTCAGAGCAAAAGACCCATCGACCCACTGGAATACCCACAAATCAAGTTTCATAGCCTTGCCCAAGTCGGTCTCTTTTACTTATCTTGATTTCTATTATGACCGCCTTGTACCCAAGAGAAAGCCACGTGCTTTACCAACCCAATGTTTTTGTCGGTAAAATTTGACAAATCAACGACGGCCCTACATTGTCGGACTAGGTCTTCGTGCATTTCCATCGCGAATTCAGTTTTGATTTGAATCAACATTGAATTGCATGATTTCATTTAGCCGAGTATTAATGACTGCTTACATTCAAATGTACATTTAATAACATAATATATTGTAACTCTCAAGAAATACTCGATCAGATCATTGAATTTCAAGTCCTAGACGGGTAGTTTGCTTTTTTATGCAGGTCAACCTGATAACGTTTTGATTAGTCAATCAGCCTGAAGTCACACGTTGTGTCCATGTCCATATTGTCAATCAATATGGTTTTGCGATACCCTTAGGTAGCCTAAGTATTATGGGAATCTCGGAACCGCTGAGTAACTTAGCATAATATCAGCGATGATGCATTGGATTGTACAAGGTGGTAATAATTCAAGATCAGATAAGTAAATAAATACCGACTTGGGCAAGGCTGTACGTTTCAGAGCCATTAACATTCCTTGAAAGTGACAATGAGCAGCCAACAGATGGACCATCCGTAAATCTTGATGATTTTGTCAGCTCAGCTGAACGAGCCTCCATATTCCTTGAAACAAATGACCATAATTCAAGAATAATATTATCTATTTACAATTTTTTGAAATCGTGGTAAGTGGAATCTTTCCAATTTCCAATATAGCATTATTATTGTTTTTGGACACTGTGGATTAAAATATTAAAAATACAAACATTCAAAATGATTCAATTGAAACCTAGCCAGTCTGTTCAATGAATCCAATCAGAACGTCTATTAATCCACATGATACATCATAATTAAATTGCTTTTTTAAAGCGGATATTTCATAACATAACCCCAAAAATATTATAGAACGCATTGTATTTGTATTTTACTTCACACAGACATATTTGTGTATGTGAAATAATTATATTACTTGAATTTTTTATTCCCCATTACAAGGTAAACCTATGGCAAATTATACATACCTTCTCACAGCTATGAGCGAGATGATAAAACTGGCCGAGAGAACTCGTTTGAGTTATCTATTCTCCCTAAAAATATCAGAGAATGTGTGTTTATAGCGTAGCTTTGGTTTTGTAAATCAATGAAGTATGATATACACGGATGAGTAAATATAGATTATTTAAACAGAAGTGCAAAATTCTTCCATTGAAAAGTACAGAGGCGGGTACTCACGAAACATTACATGTGCCTGACTGCATCCACATAGATCGACTAGCCACAGT